GTGAAATATATATATTTGTATGTTATTCAATAAAAGGTGTATAAAGTTAAAATATCCAAAAGCAAAAAAATATGTTATAAAATCTGACACGTGTTAACTTTTATTTTAAAATCAGCAAGATGAGTCTGTGTATATCAAGTGTCCTATACTCAAAGTAAACAACCGTTCTTTGCTTGCTGTGAAAGAGAAAGGATCCATATGTATGTGTACATTGTTAAATAAAAAGATTCTGCGAGAAAGAGAGAGGGAGAGAGAGAGAGAGGATTCTCGTGTTTCTCACAAATGTTCTAATGAAGCAAGAGTTTCTAATAAGTCTTCATTAACGTGTATTAATAAAAAAAATCTCGTATTGATGCTTCAGGCATCGCCTGATCAAACATCAAATTTACTTGATTTAAATACATGCTCATGCTTAGCGATTCATCGTCATTAATCCTTTCAGCTCTTTTAGTGTAGAATAACATTTTAACAATTCTAACTTTTCAAAAATCTTGTCAGAGAAATGTAAATATCAAACTTTTAATATAAATTTTATTAAATTTATATTAATTAAAATTATGTCTCCTTTCTATTCACATTATTAGAAAAATAACTTAGCAATAATCATCACAAGCATCTTTAGAAAATAAATAATATAATCTATACAAATTTGTATCTCGATTTATATATTACAAATAAATTTAAATATTAATAGATATTTCAAAGTCATTGAAAACTAATTTTATATATTATAAATTTGAGAAATTTTCGTGTGCGCGCACGCGCACGTGTTTATAACTTTCTAATTTTAATAGGTTTTTGTGCATCGTGACTAAAAGGATTAAGTATACGATGTTTAAATGGTTACAAGCATACATATGTATTGTAAGCGGTGGAAAATATTGATATCATCGCTGATTGATCAGGATACGACGACCGACTGTGAAATCGAGTGTCGACTAATGACTATGGTGACGGGTCGCCGCGATTTTGAATGTTAAATGTCAACGACCGTGAGAGACAAAAGTCCACCGGGCGCTTAATTTCATCCCAGCATCGCGTCGTGTCCTTAACTGTAAAACGGACTCGACGAAGATGACGTTGAAGAAAGTATCGGATAAGAAAAGAAGACTCGTATAATCCGCATTTCCGACATTCTGCACCGGTATAACCATTACCATTACCATTCTAAGGTACGCTTTCTCCTGTCCCACCATCCCTCTCGTCCATCCCTTCTATCCGTAGTGACTGGTAAACCGTATTTCCAAGTCGTCCAAGTAAATCAACAATCGGTCGTCGCCTGATTACCGAGTGCCACTTTTTCTTATCTGTGTCGCTTATACTCTTTTCTCTATTACTATAACATACATATTCATATATATATATCATATATAACATTAATAAATTCTAGCTTGCATAAAAAAGTATAAATCATTATATAAAATTGAGTTTAATTTTTCTACGATTTATCGAAATGTTTTCAACTCGTCTTAAATAGTTTTTAATTAATTATGAGATAAAGATCACAGTTAAACAGCTTTAATAACTAATTAGTTTGACTAATTTTCTCGAACGCGTTAAAATAAAATAAATTTAAGTACGTTCGTATAATTATAAAAGTTATATAACGAAACTGCAGTAAGAAAAGGTATAATGTATCGATACTTTTTTTTGGCAAGGGAGTTTCTTTTCGTGAAGCGCGCCGCGTTTAAAAGGCCCTCGAACTTTATGATGCTCGACGAAAGAAGAGAACCGTTTGGCGAAACGCGCACCATAAAAGCGAGTTGATTATACCAATTGCTGTATAAGCAATTGTATCAATAACCATGGCTTTTTCGCCGCACCACCGTCGTAACAGCGCATTCGAAATCGTACTTTGACGATCCGCTCGTTTGCAAAAACGTCGAGCGCTATTAAAGTATAATACGAATTTATTAAATAAAATTAAGTAACGGATATTCATGTACATTAAAGTTCAAACGATTGTCATATTTTCAATATCTCTATTGCGTAAATGCAATTTTTTATAATTTACATCTATACAGAATTTTATTTTCATTGCACTATTTTCTATGTTTAATTTAAATTGCCCGCATTCTATAATTTCGTGATTCAATAAATAACTTATGCCAAATTTTAGATTCTTTTTTTGGTAAAAAATGGGAGAATGTAATATTTTGGATTTTATTATTTATCGCCGGAAATGCAAATCGCAAATAAAGATACAATTGTCAAAGCATAATTTGCGACAATTATCAAATAAATAGTAGCAAATGAAAAAACAGCTGATGATATCAATATTGTAATAAGTAAAAATGTACCTAATAAATATTGTAATAAGTAGAAATATACCTAATAAATAAGTTCACCCTGCATCAGTCGTATCGTAGCTCAATACGCCTTCAATTGTATCTGAAAAAGTTAATGTATTATAATTATTATGAATTTCATCATGCATTTTATATATGCTAACTCACGTCATGTATTATTTAATTATTTATGTATTGATTTAATTATAAAACGCAATTAATAATAAATATTTAATTAAACATTTACGCAATAAGCTGTATCAATAATAATTTAAATATTTTAATTAAATAATTAATTAAACATATCAATTATTTAAATATATTTCAGTTTAATTACTCCCGTCCCGACTTTTTCTCTATTTATCAAATTTCCATCAAGGACCTTGCTTGGAAATAAGAAAAAAAATTAGAGAATGACATTTCTCGTTGTAAGATATATAATAATTTATAAATATTTCAAACTGCTACGTATATATATATGTATATATAATAATTCGCTGAATTTATATATATATAAGTATTTACACATAAATTCTCAGCGAATTGTTACACATATAAATATAACTATTAATTACTATACAAGTATATAAATATTTTAATTAACTTGTACATAATTCAATTAATACATGTGTACAAATGTATCAAAAAAATCCATCGTACGAGGTAACAATAAACAAGATAATATTACGATCGCACGGAATTAACTCAACGGATCTGCGATGCATTCACTGTTCATCTCTCGCGATATACCGTATCCGATATATGACCTGTATGTGCATGCAGTTGCGTATTTTTTGCAATAGACGCGAACGATATAATTACGACGATTGCATCCAGTGAGTAGGTACGCCAATCGGGCGTCGATTCCTTCGGAGAAATCGTAAGGATCATTTTCCCGTGACTACGGCATCGGAAACTGTACTCACCGGGGCGGTATTTGCTGCGACTGTACCCACCGCAACGTTCGCGTCGACTGCGAAACGGCGTCGATCGCGAACACCCGCGACAACACCGACACACTCCGTCGTTCGCCCGTCACTCCAGCCGGCATTCTCGACAAGAATTTCCGTTCGTCGCACTCTTCGACCGGATAAACTCCGCGATTGACCGAGGAGCGCCCGCGCTACGCGCTACACGGCCGGAGGCGCTCCAAAGTGTCATGGCGCCCGTGGCGGCTGCGCGCGCAGCCAGGCAGCGCGTGCGCAGTCGGTAAGTCGCTCGAACTGAAACGATTTGAAGTACGGACGATTAATTAAGACGGTCGCAGTGAGAATTCGGCGCTTGTTACGCGCATCTTAGACAGCTACAACGATACACTTGATGTTCGCTACAGCAGTTTAGAGAAATACGAAAGATTTCACTCGCGGAAGGCGTGTAGAAGGGAGCGAGTGTCACAGGCGATGTCGCCCGTAGTGTTAATATACACGTTTCAAGTTTGCTTGTCAGAAGAGATGGCAATGGTTGTGGCTATACTCGTAAAATTTATGTTACCTCGTGGATCTACGAACATTATCCGCTTCTTCTCATTTCTTTCACATACGAGTCGTATAAAGGATTCTCTTGAAATAAAAGGTCTACGCAATATAATATATGTATACATATATGCGACCAGTAAGACGATACGAATTATAATGGAGGAACAGAAATCGGACTATGTGGCGCCATCTGACCTATCTCAGTCTAATCACGATGCTCGCCGAGAAAGCGTTGGTGGTAATGTTGATATACAACTGCACCGGTCTTTTTATTTTATCACGTAAAAGCGATAAGAGATTCTAGCGATCGCTTCAATATTATCTCGTGACTGTCAAAAAGATTTGTTCCAAATATAGCATATAAATACAAACAGAAGTATGAATCACCGTATATCTTATCTGTCGTCGCCAAAAAACACTCGACGACGCTGCGCAGCGTCATCGCGCGTATTTAGCTGAGAGCAGTCGAGTTTTCTGTTCCAGAGAACGCGGTCGCGGCCCGATCGCTGGCGTCCCTCCTCTTTCTTCCCCCCTTTTTCCGTTTCTCTCTCGTTGTTGCAGCGCGGAAAATTCGCGCGATCGCTCGAGGCATGCCAGCGTGACGGCGCACGCGTAGACGGAGCCGCCTGGCTCGTCACGCGACGTTGAGAGAGACATGTGACCCGTTTAAAGTTTCACCGTGCGCGCAATTACCGTGCCGTGTGAGAGAGAGCGAGCGCGCGCGCGCGCGCGCGCCGCGGTATTCCTGCGCCGCGCGCGCGAGGCCTCCCACTACGTCGCGCACCTGCGAGACCGTCGGGCGGAACCACCGCGCGGAGCCCTAGGTTATGTCGCCGTGTTTATACTCGCCGTGATCCCGCGACTACTCGAATCTCGGACCCGCGCCCCCCTCCCCCCCCGGCCCCGCGTGTGCGCCCGCGCGCACGCACGGTCCGTCATCGCGGCGGGCCAATATCGTGGGGGATCATCGCCTGGGCGAAATATGAGAAGGATACACACGTCGGGACATCGACTGGGACATCGGCCGGGAAATCGGCAGCCGTGCCACTGCTGCTGCTGCTGCTGTTGCTACTGCGTTGCGTCCGCGAGATAATTCGACAACGGCCCAAGGTTCGCATCCTTTTGCATCCTTCCGCATTCGCGCGATTTCGTTTCTTCCTCCCTCTTTTTCTCTGTCGCTCTCTCTTTCCCTCTCCACCCTCCTCCCTCTCTCCCGCGCTCTCGTTTCGGGCATCCGACGGGCGACGTATCGAGAGACTCCCACGCAGATGTTTACGCGCAGACGATGATCGAACGAGATCGAAAGTCGCATTTTTTTTGTCTCCGGAAAGGTGTGCCTTCGGTGTGCGTCGCGATCGATTTCACGAGTCGCGTTTTCCGTTCCTCTTTTTTTTTTTTTCGTCGTAGATGGTGGCCGCTGCGAAACCTTGTCCTATTTCTGTAGACCGTCTATATACGTATGTATACATGTATATGTATATACATCTGCATATATATGTGCATCATACATACATACATACATAGCTGCGCGCGATTATTCGGCCTGACATTCGCGCGTAATCACGGCCGCGGGTTATGAATCTCTACTGTGACCTTGAGCGAGTGTGCATCTTGTTACCGCGGCTGCATCGTTTGTTTACAGCTTAGAATAGCCGTCGCGAAAATTGTCGCTCTTTTACCGATCCGAGAAGATTAGACGCTAAATATAGTTTCGTCTGTCCCCGTGAAGGTTTAATCAAATTGCATGGATAACGCATGTTTGTCAAAACTTAATATCGACATTTGTAATAGTTGAATATTCCTGTTCTTCTTTTCTGGTCCATTCCTTTTTTTAATTAAAAATGCGACACGTCTTAAAATTTATTCAAATATATTTTGATAAAATTTTAATGTCTAAAATTTTATAGGTTATCTGATTATCTGATTAGATTTAATTAACTTGGTAATTTGTAAAAATAATATTACAGTCTATTTGTAATAATATCGAGTCTTTACATAATTATCTAATTATCTCTCTGTGCAATACAGATAAATCCATTCTTTACCTGAAGCTGACAAGTGATGACTAATTATTGATGACTCATGACTCATTCTTAATATAAGATAATTTTTGTTATTCATTAACAGGCCACAGCTGTGTTATGAGTGTCGGTTTATCCATGTACGATGGCTTGGAGAACGAGAGTTCTCCTGATAATGGCTTGGAGAGCGCTGCGGGTACTACAAAAAAGCTAGCTAGGGGTATCTCCCGTGCGACCGAAAATGCAGCGATTGTTTCCTACGCTCGTTTACAACTGGCAGCCTTAGGAACATTCGAGACACCAGAATTCACATTTTCATTGCCAGACTTGTCCGTGTATCCAGGTACTTTTCTTTATACTCAAATGTATATTCTATTCTTATTTTTGCTAACGTTGAATTGACATTTTACATCTAGATTCGTTCCGCAAATTCTTGGAGAAGGATCTTATAGAGAATGGATGTCTGAATTCTTTGGAGGCTGCAGGTCGTTTAAACTGGTGGTACAAAAGTGGAAGCGCCAGAGTCCTTTGGCCTCTCGCAACAACCGGAGATGGCAACTGTCTACTTCACGCTGCATCATTGGGGATGTGGGGCTTTCATGATAGATTACTTACCCTGCGGGAAGCATTGCATAATACTTTGACCAAAGGAGAATACAGACACGCGCTTTTCAGGTAAGATAAGAGAATGAAAGAATGTTAATCTTAAAGGGTAGCCAATAATTGAGAACTCTATTACCATAATTATTAGACGATGGAAATGGAGACAAACGAGTCTAAATGCAGCAGCTGGACTGTCATACACGGAAGCGGAATGGTTATCGGAATGGCAAAGTATAGTGGATATGGCATCTCCTACAGTCAGAAATCAGACAGCTACCTCCTATCAGAGCCTTGAAGAGGTACATCCGCAGCGTCTTTTCTTTGACTATGAAGTTTTTATTTTTTAGAGACTCGATATTATTACAAATAGACTGTAATATTATTTTTACAAATTACCAAGTTAATTAAATCTGATCAGATAATCAGATAACCTATAAAATTTTAGATATTAAAATTTTACACTACAATCTGGTCTTATTTCAGATACACGTTTTAACCTTGGCTCATGTCTTAAGAAGACCTATAATAGTGATAGCGGAAACTATGCTGAAGGATGCGGATGGCGTAGCCTTAGCGCCGATCCCATTTGGTGGAGTGTATTTACCTTTGGAAGTACCGCCCTCGCATTGTCACAGAACACCCTTATTCTTGGCATATCATTCTGCTCACTTCTCCCCGCTCGTAACGGTAGACGGATGCAATGATTATGGCAGCGCTTGCGGCGAAGGAGTTAGTATACCATTAGTGGATCCGGACACGGGCAAACTGTTGCCAGTCTTGTTTGCCGTGGATCCTGGGCCCGATTGGGATTGGGTTGATGGTGCGCGAGAATTGTTAACTTGTACGCAGGATACCGTAAGTGAATCTTGTTATATATATTATTAGAATATTGTTAAAGTATTAAATTATTGGAATCTTAACGGAATCATTTTTTATCACTTGTTGCAGATGGAGATTCTATTGCGACAGTATTTAGACTGCGAGTATCAAAGTTTCACATCCGAAGATATTGACAGGCTATCTGATACGGACGGTGCTTTGTCAAAGACCGCGAAGCAGTTGTTAGAGGTCGCGAAACAATTCGGTTCTATCGGCAAATCTGTCAGTAAAAAACTATGGTCTATAACAAACAAAAGGCCAAAGAGCCCGCCTTCCGTGGGCGGCGGAATCTCCACGGAAGGCTTGCTATGTGTGAGGATAAAGAGTAGACGTCATCAGTATGTGGATCAAATGCTTCACAATTATCTTCAGTGTGCCCATGCAAGGTATTTCGACCTTCGGTCAATTCAATTGATATTAGAGGGCAGTTTATATAGATTTACTGTTATTACAGATTTCTACAAGATCATAAGATAGACGACACAGGTAGTGAACTGAATTACGGTGCCGGAAAGTCTAAATTTTACGCTGCCAGTGATCGCGGTAGTCATGCGAGCGTTAGCAAACTATTACCTACTAACACAAACAAAGATCATACGCTTTATCTTTCGAGGTATAAATTGCAAATCATAAAATAGCTCTATAAAGTAGCTCTTCGTTAATCGTGAAGAATAAATTAATATCTTTTTTCGCAGGTCTACATTTTATAATAATCATATTCCATCATCAAATAACACGGGGCCAGAGATTTGGAATAATAGTGAAAATTTAAAGGTATATCAAGTAAAACTTTCGGAAGAAATTCATTCTGTTAATTGAAATTGCTATTCGTACACAGGGCATCGTGAAGGAGTGCCGCAGTGAACACTGCCAATTCTTTGGATCGCCAGAAAACCAATTCTATTGCTCGCAGTGCTGGGCTAATCGACATCGTTAAACAACCGTCCGTATATCATACATGACAATAATCTCATTTTAATATCGCGTTCGGAATAAGCTCTTAATAATTTTTAGACATAATGCTAGCCGTAAGATAAAGCTTATGAATGTCCCACCAATATATCGTTGATTAATATCACAATGTTTTCAGTTTAATTTTTTTTTTTTTTTCATGTTTTCTTGTATTTATTAACATTTTCTTTCTAAAAGCTGCATATCAGATGCACAGGATTTAATTAACATATGCATTGATTACAAAGTTCGTTATAGCATTACTTTCCATTATTTCAAGTTGACTTTTTAAAATGTTTTTTGTATTCGAGGAACAAAGTTTTTTTTTTTTACAATTTTGATGTGCCTTCTGTCTTATGCGTGGAACAAAAAACAATGATCTACATCATTATGATAAAAACGTTCACTCACAACTACCTCTACAATTTTCGATTACAATGATCGGTATAAATTATCACTATAATTTTTTGTTTGTATTTATAAAAGATGATATGAGAATATTATGTTTATACCCTCATTATCCTGTGTATGTAAAGCTGTGTGAAAAATAAATATAATATTTTTATATATCTCGCGTCGTTATTTGCCGATGTGCGGAATATATAGCAGTTAAGAAGATACACAAAAAAAAAACTCAATTTTTGCCATAATAAAATGTATTTACATATATTTCCTCACATTAGCCTATCATCATGTGAAAAAGGTAGTAATTAATAGTAAATGATTAATATTACCTGACACATTACCCATATTCACTAAATTATCGACAAAGCATACGTGTGGTAGTATTACGCTAATTTTATTAATAATTGTACGAAGAAAAACTTTTATTGGTATGTACAAAAAGAGGAGGAAAGAATTATGCAATATATAAATTATTGTTTTTTTTTCCAGTACTTTGTATATGTTTTCTATTATTAAATATCTATATAAGAAAAACATGTGAAATGAGAAAAGATTTTACAGTACGTCGAAGGAACTAGGGAATATTCACTTCAGCTACGATATTACTACTAAGCGCAGAGTATATGCTTAGCTATTGAGATTTAAAAATGTTCTCTTGCTTTTATTTTATCATTTAAACACTTTCAACATTCGATATTGGTCTTTCAATGAAATGGCTAATAAAGAAATAAGTAAAAGAGTACCACCTATATATTTCGTGTCTTCAAAAGTTGAGTTTCACGTACTATTTACAATTTCAGTCATACGAGCGCAGATACACTACCAGAGTCGATTAGTTTTGTTGTGTATCCGATATCCTATTGTATATCCTTTCACTTAAATAGTAAGCTTACATTAACCAATTTCATCTGGAAAGCTTTTATTTCCTCTTGTGAAGGATGATAGCGAAGAGAGATCTTTAAAAAAAATTATAAACTAAAGTAACTTTTATAACTATCATCATGTGCATATAAGTTTCATCGTAAGTTCGAGACATTTAAATATCGATGTTAATCAAAATTAAAATGTTCTTCATTTCTAAAAGCCATAAATGAGTCTGTCATTCAGACTCGTAAAGAAATAAAAACATGATTGCTGTTCATTTCATTTTGTAATTCGGTAAAACAATATGATGAAAATATCAGTAAGATTACACCGATATATGGATGTACATACATATATAAATATAATTAATGATATCAATGTATAACATGGATTCTAGTGTGTGAGAGATGTAAAATTTATTACTGATAAATTTTTTAACAGGTCTTCGGCAGCTTATTTTCTCTTACACTAGAACGAATTCTTCCCCTGACGGTTTTATATTCTTTTTTTGTGTGTTATCGTAACATAAATAATTATCCAAAACAACGCAAATTTTATATGTAAATATTATACTTAGGATCAATTGATGTACCCATTTACAACTTTGAACGAGGCGCGAAACTAGGTGTCCAATATAAAAAAAAAATCGATCGTGTACTTACAGTACTTACATATGATCATTTTTATCGAACGTTTGTCATTGTAAGGTAAATCAATTGGTCCGTTCCTATTTAAAAGATCAAGGTGCCAGCCACAACACAACAAGCAAAGTGCTTCTATCCATAGTACTTATATCGCGCGGACGCGCCGTAGCATATTGCTTAAGTTAAAGAGCTTGTAAACACGGAATTCTCCAAAATTTCATACAACTATTAACATTCCAATTTTTCTATTAACTCTCGCTCAGCGAAAACTGGGATCATTCTTAATCAGTTTCTCATTTCGGCGCCATTAATTTTTTTTACACAGTTTTTTTATAAGTTTCTACACAGTATTGTATTACATATTTTGTAATACCTACTACACAGAGAAATATTTCTTTAGATTTAATAAATTTCGAAGAAAATTATTTCAATCGCGTTTTTTCTGTTTGGCTTACATTTATTTCGTTGAAACAATGTAATTTTAAAAGATTATTTTGTTTAATATAAATTTTGTAATATTGGTTTGTAGAAAAAACGCAATTGTTTGAAACAATTTTCTCCGAAATTTGTTAAAAAAATATTTTTCTCTGTGTATACATTTGTAATATATGTAATATATGCTTAATATGTACTTGATATATTATACACAATGTAAATAGACATGATTCGAGACTTTCTTTCAAACACGCGCCAATAAATAAGAATTCATCACGTAGTGATCCAATTTTCGCTGTCTAACAAATATCTTGGCAATGTGAGAGTTAAAGAATATTATCTTTCATAAACCATCGTTAAGCTGACAACCTTATTACTCTACAATGGAAATCATAAAAACAAATAATTTTTCAACTGACTTCATTCTTTTTAAGAAAGTTATAACAATAAGTTGTAGATAAAAATTCGTTTAGAAAAGATAAAAGACAACGACAATTGACGACGGCTTAAGAGAGATATATATACCTATATATATATATACGTATCTTATTTAACTTTTTCTTAGAATATTTTATTATCTTTCTTTTTCGACAAAAAAATATTTATTTGAATTTTGGTAGAGCATCCGGAAGAAAAAAATAGAGAGATCGTCCGGTTTAGAAGCTCGTTAATTTATTAATCTATACAGAACTGATAATATAATAATTAGCGATGCGCGGGTTTTTTTATTATTATCATTTAAGAGATGGATCACGATTCCCCATTGCCACTATCGTCGCCATCCTCGTAATCAGTCGCGCTCAACTGCTCATCCTCATCGTCATCCAACTCGTACTCGTCATCGTAGAAGTCTGTCATATCTAGTTGCTGTTCGGCCGGCCTCGCTCGAGTCTTTATGCAATAATCCTCCAGAGTTACAGGCACGACAATACCTTCCTTTTCGGCTTCCATCTTGGCAGCTTGAGCTTGTTTCCTAGATAGAAAACATATACAAAATATATATTGATAAAATACCTACCTAATTGTGACCAATATAATTCTGCTTATCACAAATGAATACAGATTAAACTTATTTAAAAAATATCCACTTAAATCTTTCTTAAAAATTTCTTGATATTTTTCTAAATATTTTTCGAGGGCTAACTGGCCGCAAAATAAAAGCAAAATTTTCGAAGAAAAAGTTTCAACAACAAATTCAATAAAAATTTACCCAAGACTTCCCAGAATTTTTAAAGACTAGGCTACGTATCGATTATAATTAAAATAATAGTTTTCCTAGGTAGATTCGCGTGTAGCGAATTAAAAGATATATATTTATGTTGCCGATACTCTCGTTTCCGCAGTTATCTGTTTCGCACAGTCGGCATAGTTTTTAGCACGCTATGAATCCGGTAGCAGTATAATTTCAAACAAAAACGCTCAAAGTTTCTTGCAACCGCGTGATGTCACGCAACGGCATTACTAACGATATCTTACCTTATGATATTTTCATATTCTTTGTCTCTTCCTTTGGAATCGCGCCAACGTCTATACATCACGGATGCGTCAACGTTGGCTGGACTGTACGTGTTGGGCTCATTCAGCAACGAGATCACCGATAGCAGGATAGTTCTGGGACAAGCAATACAGTAGATTAATAATTAATTCTAGCAGAAATTTCAATCGATGTTTCCCCAGTATAGAGCTCAATTTTGCCAAAAAGAAACCCTGGAGATCATTTTCAGTTTCAAATTTTGAGAATTACTGTTTGAGGAAAATTGTGAAGACAATTTTAATTTTTTTCCCTCTTTTTGTTTCCATTTTTTGCGGCACTGCACCCACCTGACATTTTGCGTTGGATTCCACCTCTCACAGGGCAACTCGCCGCTCTGTGGATCGTCTACGGGTGGATGCAGGATTGATATGCACAAATCACCGTTCTGTGGAGAAAGAAGTAGCCTTTTAGACAATTTTTCTAACGCTTACTGCACTTTCTCGTTCGATTTGGTTAACATAATTTCCCTTTGTTTTGCGTGACATTGAAATTCAGTTCACGTATGTTATTTTCGGAATTTTATCCAACGAATTGTGTATTTTTGCATTTATATTCGCAGAGTTAGCGTTATATTGTGCTGAACTTATTGTTAAGATAAAAAAAACTAAGAATAAGCACAAAGATGCGCTCGCGTCAATCTAAAAAGAGATATTTATATATACTTTTCCACGATTTCTAAATATATATTTACTGTTATTTGAGAAAAGAAAAAAGAGCTATAAGTTGGTGCATGCGACGTTCACAATTCTGCTTTCCTTTCGCCAACGCACGACGACCTCGGTGCCTCTGGTTCCGCGTTTGTTGTCCCTGAGAAGACATCGTCGCTCGAAGGACGAGACCTCCGGATGTACCTTTACGGTACATAAAGAGAAGCCACCGAGGACACCGCGATTCTTCTACACCATATTCGGTGCAGACGAGATATGATTTTTCTGAGGCTAAAATTATACGTTATCGATATCGCGCGAAACTATCGATATACGAGAAATGAGAACAAATAAAAAAAAAACGCAGGTCTTGAACCGTTCTATAAACTCGTGCCAAACAACGTAAAAATCGCAGACGACTCGCGCTGCCTCACAAGAACCCGCGCGTCTCCTATCTCTCGTCTCTCCTGCACACGAAGACCGTTCGGCAAGTAGGACAAGGCGCACCATGGTTTCACCGTAGCTCGACTCCGAACACCTCGTAATAAGCCACGAAGGCGAAGGCGAGCTCCTCCGAGTAAACGCCCGGCACTTGACACGACCGCTCCGACGAAGGCGATAGGCATCGCTGTGTTCGTGCATGCATTTGTACAAGCCGGCGAGTGCAGCCGACGCATAGAACCGCGCGAAGTGCAACCGGCGGAGGTGACCGGCACTTGAGATCTATATATCGAGATCTGTGCACGCAGGGAAAATGTGAGAAGCGTGAAAAAAAAATCGATGAAATCTCTAGGAGTAGACTTTGCTTTGAGAAACGCATTCGCGACGTTCGATGGCTTAAATATAAACTTTGCATGTACTCGAAGCTAAATAAAACAATGTCGTTGCCTTCTTATTCTATATCGCGCTGTTTGTGAAAATGGTAGCTTGTACCAGTATTCAGTATACATTATACGATTTGCGCGCCGACGAAAGAAAAAAAGACCGAGGAAGATTCGCGTAATGCGCAAGATACACACGCGTACAAATAATATGAATTTCACGACGGGGAAAGTTGAGCTGCGAGAAGAGCGAACCGTGCACGTGTTAAGCCGCGCGCGGTGTATATCGAGTAAAGCCTTCTACGACGGTCTGCTTCGATTGCGAAAGACCTCTACATATTGGAGTAAGTGCCGTTTCCTTGAGGATTTTGCGCAATGCGCGAGATTATCATCGAAATAAAATTTCACGCGGCGAGGAAAAAGGCGCGATAAAGTCGGCTTCTTCGCGTATGATTAATTTCCTTTATACAATCGAGAGCCGCTTTTTTTTACGGTCCGCCTCGTTGGAAGTAGAGATCGCTGTATTTTCACTTCGCAATTTGCGGCTTCGCTATACGAACACGTATAATGGAAAGAATGGCCACGACGTGCAGCGTAAAAAGATTTTACTACGTTTTCAGTTTAAGTGCGCTGAAATATAAATAAAATGGACACTTGTGGCGTTAGAAGTACGATAGAGAGAAGATGAGAATTAGCATGTTTACAAAATAATTGCAGTTATATAAGGATAAGCGGTTCGACTTATCAATCGATTAGCAAACAAGTCAACTGTTTGGACACTCTCGAGCGGAGATAGGGAGAAAATGACGATTTAAAATATTCGATTTAAAACATTCGATTTTATATTCCCGTGTATTATTCGCGTTTCCATACGACGCGTCAACTATGTTATTTTACTGTTAATTCTGCATACTGCACTACAAGCATGTCCCGTTTGCGACCAAGAGTACACTATCTGCAGTTCTACAATTCACAAACTTTAATATCCTCTCTTCGACAGCCGAGACCTTTAAAAAAAAAAAAACAAGCATTCGTGTTTGCCTCGTTACTCATAACACGTTCCCGTCGTTACCATCCCTATCGACGACGGGCGAGTGGACACGGATGTCCACACGGGCTTTCGACGGTCATTGACTTCGCTTCGCTAGCCGCCGAAGGGTCATATACGACGAGCAAGCGAGCAAGAGATGCCGCGACCGAGGTCGATAAGCGTGTGAGAATGCGATACTTTTGTGCAAACGCAAACGGTGCTATATACGTAAGGAGAACGCGGAAATGCATTCCCGATACTCCCGACTATTTCCATCTCGAACGAATACCTACTCCGAATGATACGGCCCGCGAAATATCTTGCTTAATCTTAATATTTTATATAATATATATCGCAACGCTTATTGCAGGTCGCGCGAGCAAGTTAGCCGTGTGATACTTCCTACAAGTGCGAGAAGATATTTTAGTATACTTTACTCTAATCGATATTTTATTTCCCGTGAACAAGATATTAGATGATATAGAGATTAACGAACGAATGAGAGCGAAGCTTAAATGTAGTACTTCGGCGTAACAGACAGGAAACGGTCCGTCGTGCTTCCGATCTTTTTTAAGTGGCGGACAACACGACGAATCAGCCCTCGTAAAAACGTCGCGGATTATCGTCGCGGTGCGCCAGCTTGCCGCGCGCCTCGGCCGGACTCGTTTCCCCCGCCGAGCTAATCGCCGCGCGAATTCGCACGTCGACGGATGTGGCGAAAGAACGGGAATCGCGGAGTTTTACAAACGTCGAACGTGACGACGCGCGCCCGCGATAAATATAGTACGGCCGGACGTTCCAAGAATGTGGTGGCGGTGATATACGTCAATATGAATGCAACCTCAGGCGAGAACTACTACGCAACGCGCAATTTTTCGAGTCGGCTGTTTTTACTTTCTTTTTTTTTTTTTTTCCCCTCCTAAAGCCTGTCCGTCCGTCGCGCCGTTGCGCGTCTCGATGGAAACGACGGCCCGGGGTTTGGACGGGGCCCGGGTGGTTTCACAAGCGCTGAAAGTGACGATGTAAAAGCTGATGGTTGTAAAAGCTATGGCGGCGGAGGGTGGAAGATAAAGAGAGGCGGACGGACGAGCGGACAGAGCGGGACGGTCGTTATACAGCGAGGGGCGGTGAGAGAGCAGCGGGGTGAGAGCGTGGTGAGAGAGCGGGACGGATGAACGGAAAAGGGACGCAGGGGGGAAACGGGGAGGACACGCACGTACACACGTACGAGAGGAAAGGGTCGAAACGGAGGGAGAGAGAGAGAGAGAGAGAGAGAGAGAGAGAGAGAGAGAGAGAGAGAGCACATGCGGGAGATCGATAATTCTCGTATATATTCACTCACCTCATATACATTCGGGTGCCAAACTTTTGTCATGAAACGAATACTCGGTGGACTGTACGGATAATCCGGCGGGAACTTCATGTGTGCCTGCAACATAACGAATCCCAAGCTTCGTCAAGGTATATTCTCGACGTTCGACTCCGGCTTCGGGGTCGTCGGGACGCCCACGCGCGCGGTCTACGCGGAACACATGTCTTCGCTTACCTATATATATATATATACATGTACATCTCGTCGTTGAATTGAAACCGTTATAATTTCGGCGAGTTCAATATCCAACGCTACGCACACGCTGCACACACACACACGTGCGTTGGAAAAATGTGCCTTGCTTTAGTAGAGGTCGTCGGTTCTATTCTCACGAACAACGTGGGAAATATTCCCGCGTGTGTGCGTACAGTACCCAAAATTAGCGAACCCACCGAAGTTGTACCGGTTTTTATAGTAACCTGTCTATGCGAGCCCTCGAAAAACTATCGCAAACTCCTTCGTCGCGAGCTTACGCTCTTCATGCAATTTCTCACATAAACTTTCTAATCTTTTTTTATTCGCCAACGCGACGTACAAAGTTGGAAATTGGCAAATGGCGACGATGACTTGTTTTCTCTCATATTTTGCCGAAGAAAATTGTGATTCGAATTGATGAAAACGCTGTTGCAAATTAATCACTCTGTATACGATCTGTAAATAAACACATCGGAGCTCTCTGACGCCGCCGCGAAAGTGGAGCAACATGGCCGTTTAGAACGTAACCGAGATAACGAGACAAGATGTAAAATCGGAGCGTCGGGTCCGGGCCGTCGATAAGATCCGATATTTCGATCGGCTACGGAATCTCCGAGGGAATCTGCGACGATATCGATTTCCATTCCAGTGCGCGAAAGGGGCGTCTGGTTGTTCGATGCAGGCTTCGCCGTCGGGACGCTATATTGATCGCGACCTGGTCATGGCCCAAATATCCACCTCGTCCTCCGGGATAACCGCGTTCTAGAATTAACCTACTTTCTACCGACTCTATACACGCTTACAGTGTCACGAAAATTCTACTCGGACTGCGCCGCGTTGCTCCACGTGTATTCGCAAATTGTCTCGTTGCAGCTTCGGACAATTTTTGCTTTACAGCTAATTTTCCGAAACTGCTCCTTCAACCAACACGGAACTGCGGTGACTCATGATTGAAAAGGTTCTTTCATTTATCTATCCCGTTAATGGGGCGAGCAACAATGTTTAACGTAACTCTCACTGCTATAATCTCTTCGTGAGAAATTAAGATTTGTAATTTAGATTTGTAATTCTTATATGCTGATAGTCCAAGCTCCCCTTGGAATAAAGAAATGCAAGCACGAGCTTACCGATGTGATATCGCAATATCGATCGCGATTATCAGCATACGATCTTACATGACACTGTCATGGAAATATTCCGAGAATATGTCCACAATACAAGCTTTCTATTTTTACCATATAACAAAGTGCCTTTAGAATTTTTATATGTCATAATAGTTATTCACCGCAAAAACCGCTTTTGCAGCAGGGAGATCGCGATCGTGTGGATTTTTTTGCAGGTTTGCTCCGGAATGGAACTATCACCTCGGCGTCTTTCGTCGCAACTCCACCGTGTGACCTACAAATTTTCGCGACCTACTTCGACAATAAGCAACTCTGGTCATCGTAACGCGACGTTGTGTAACGTGGCTAGGTGGCGACTTTTAAAACTATCGAATCGCGCCGTGTGCCTGACGACAGAACAATTCGATCGGACATTTTCGCAAATGAGACTGTCGCTCGATCTTATTCTATTCTTAATTTTAAGATGAAATTGAAAGACGCGACGATAACAGTATTTTACATAAAATCTGATTAATTTCAATCGTTCTCTTGTCATTCTTTTATAAAATTATAACGATATATAAATTGTTTCCAATTTATCAATTTCACGGATAGAATTATACGTCATCATCTCGTAGGTATGTCTCTATATTACAAATAAAATCTGTAATTTAGAATTTGTGAAAGTTTATCATATTTTCCTTTCGTAATAATCAAACTCTCTTCGCCTGACAACTCACGAGAAGAAAGGGAGAGATAAAAATAACTTTTAGCTTCCTCAACATGCGTAAGATATAACAAATGCTATCAGAATCGCAGATTCTTTCGGAACGAATTGATAACTGAAGATTCTTTCTAAAAGATACTGTATTGACTATCGATTCCCCGCGGTTGTATTATCGCGAAAAGTTCTGGCACTCGCGCGAAGCGGGATGCCCGCCATCTCTTCGCGAGGTGAAAGGATAAAGTCTGATCGAGACGGACTTCGTGGAAAATGAAACGGCGAAGTTTTGCTGCGTCGAAAACCGTGAGCTCTCGTCAGATAGATCGGATCGATTTTTCGTGCACCGACGACGACGACGACGAACCGGCGCACGATCGTCTTAAGCGGAATGAGATTAGGTGAAAGTTGGTCGGCCGTTGCCGATCGGTAAAGGCTTGCACCCAGGAATAGAATCGAGACAATGCTCGATGGCATTTTATGTAACTTGGCAACCGTATCGGCGCTCTCCTCGCCTTTTACCGAGCCGTGCATAAATTTTGATCAGGGGAGACATTCGATAAGTAGAACGTGATCTTGCGAGTGGACCGTCAAGATCGTATCGTTACGAGCGAAAGAGTACGAGGCCCGATATCTCCGTCATACGTGCTATTAAAACGCGAAAGAGATATTGATATTTAGGTATCGCGTGCCAACATACACACGCATTTCGAATACTGCACAACCGTAAATCGAAGTCAGATTTTTCCGCTTACATTTTAAAAGGCTGCAGTGATCATTAAAAATGAATGAAGGAGGCGTGATCCGATCAAATTATGTGCATACACAATTCATTCGCACTGCCTTTAGTATCATCATTATTGCGACGCAATGTTCTTTCGCGATTCAGATAAGCCTCGTTCCGTTATAGTTACGTCGTCGTCACCTTTAGTGTTGTGTAAAATTAGGTTTATCTCAAGCTAAACAAGACATGAAGCCTTGTGTACCTGCGCACTGAAACTTGATTCATAAAGCTGTGGTTCGAAATAATAATTTAATTTATCACTCGACAGCCGTTTGATCTTGCGAAATTTCCATAACAGAGAAAATTGATTTCAAATCGACCAGAAAAAAATCTATAAACAAAGGTGAGAAACTTCGTGCCCCTCTAGAGACATTGAGACGAAGGTATAATACGTAAAGTTATTCATTCACGAAGATACCTCAAACGCAGCGTAAGATGAAAGCGATTGTTTACCTGAGCACGGCGCAACGCGCGGAGCATTCACCGATTAAGGGTTAACACGATTACGGTAAAATGGATAATAGATTAATCCGGTGCTCCGAGCGGAGCGGAGTGGACGCAGTCTTTCGAAATAACCACGAGGAGAGGGATTTACATGCGCGAGGTGTACACGGGTTTGCAAGAAACGCCGCGCTCGTTACTGTCGGTTACGTTGTGGGAAGATACGTTGCGTTACGTGAATAGGCGTTCACTCGTTCACGACGAGGCAGAGAGTGGTTTAGAAAGCGGACGGGACATGCAAAAAGTTTGCAGCCGCGGCGGCAGCAATGACAGAACTCATTTTACAGTCTGGCGTTTAACCTGGCTGGGGCATTAAAGCCTCCTTTGCCTCCTCGCTTGCAATCGCGCTGCTTCATGACGTCAGAGGTAAAAAATCACTTCGATCTTTTTTCTCGCGCATGCAGAGGCGCATTCACGTTTCGCACATTTTTTTTTTTTGGCCGTTTGACGTGACATTTTTAAACGTGACTTTAAGAGACAGACAATGTTTGATATTACAAATCGAATTAAAGAGCCAATTTCTATCTGATTGGAAGAGAAAGTATGTTACTGTTTCCAATCTAACTTTATTAGACATTAATGCAAGAATAATTAATCTTCGGCGACTGAGAACAGAGAAAAGTAATATCTAAGCCACTATTGTCATCGGCCAGTCAAGGCAGTCTCAATGACTCGCGTATGGTCGTCAGAATTCACTTGGCAGGAAAATGCTGAAGTTTCCGAGATAAACATTGGCTCAAGGATAGGAAACAAGGCGCTCGAGCCGTATGCGAACAACGAAATTCCGCATTGTCACACGTGCAAACATTTGGCGACGATAAAAGAGACCGTTCGAATCGTTTCATTATCGAGCTAATTATAGGCGTTGATTGACAGACCCCACTATTGTTCTGGTCTAATAAATTTTAAATGTGTGTATACAGTGTAACGATATGATCTAAATCTGTTATGAAAAATATTTGTTTTCGAAAACTAAATAAACAGACTAGTAAATAACTCACTTTTAGAATGAATGCACTAAATGTAAATATCTGATTTATGAAGCTAGAATTTATCAAGACAATTTATTTTTAGAATTTTCAGAAACGCAAACTCTCGAAACATAAACTACTTGTGTATTCAGACTGCAGACTTTATTATTAAAATACGAAAAATAATTTGAGCTCGATATAACTGCAGTAACGATTGTAATCTTCACGTTTATAATTCAAATTTTATGTCAAATTATATTTCTCAAATTTTACGTCAAATTTATTTGAATTTCCTACCATCCAACCTTTTTCAATATTACACAAGATATTTTTAGCAAATCGAAGAGAATTGATATAAGATATTACAAATGCATGTTCGCGATATCATGCGACGATAAGTAATGTAATTCCACATCACATTACCAGGAATAGAATCCGCGTGTTCTCTACTTGTACGTGTATAGATTTACTGGCAAACCGAAACGTTAGTCAATAATGTCGAGCTACATTATGCGCCAAGTTAAGGTACGCGTTATCCGCGCTTTTATCGTAAAAAATGGAATATCATATACTCTTATATATATATATATATATATGCGAGGTCGCCATGCGACATATTTAAAAGTCACAGCTCGCACACAAGCCCTTTGTTTATTTTACGATAACGCGAACGAGGACCGTTTTCGAGGTAAAAGAAAAACAACTCCTCCGCGGAACTGATTAATTCCGATAGACCACGGCAGCGAGAACGGGACGCGACATAACCAAGAAGGGACGGCGGGGCGCGCACATAAACGCGTAGCTCGACACCGTCGATATCGTCGTCGCTCGGCGCGACTACTCGCGTAAATACACACGCGGCGCACGTATGCATATCGTAAACAGCAACACAGAGGGGTACAGCAGGGGGGTACCTTGAAATATCCACCCTGATAGAGAGTGTCGGGTGGACCGAAGATCGCGACTTCCCACTCGAACATGTTGTCCTCGTTGACCAGCTTGACGCGGAAACCCTCGACGGGCTCCTCCTGCAGGCTCTTGTATTCCAGGGCGAGCGCCCGTAGCGCGCTGCTCGTCGGCTGTGCCATGTTTCCACTCTACGCTTCTCTCTTTCTCTTTCTCTGTCTGTCTCTCTCTCTCTCTCTCGCTTGCCGTCGATGTATCACAATGTTGTCTACCTGCGAACGTCCCGATTCTGTCGCGACTCGCGTCAGGTAGTCTCTCACGGACGGTCCGGGGACGGACGTCTCTTCTCTCCCACGCGGCGGTACTACCTACGACCGAGAGGGTCCCGTGGGATCAATCGCGCGGAGTCGCTCCCAGTTGAAGATCCCGAGGATCCGGAGTCACGAGAGCGAGAGCGAAGCGCGAGCCCGAAGACGACGACAACACACGCGAGCGCGTCCGCACGACTCCTCCGCCGCACGCAGAATCGTCCGGAAACGCGCACGCAGTCCTTCTCACGCGCGCGTACGGCGAACAAAGGTGCGCGAGAGAGCCCGTTGCTGTGCGACGAACGAAAGTTGCGCGAGAGAAAGATGCCCCTCCAAGTCAACAATGCAACACCATTTCCCGAACAACGGCGACAACGACGACGATGACGAAGGCGACGGCGACGGCGACGCGACAACGACAACTACGACGGCGACGACGACGACGGGCAACGACGGACACACACGCACGTCTATCCGCCGCGAGAGTCTAACAAAACAGCTGACGTACTCCCTTGCGTCAGCGATCTGACCGTAGCGGCGCACGCGCGAGTCGCGCGATCCGCTCTCGCCTCGACTTCTCGGTTGGAATCCCTCGATTTAAAAACCACCTTCGCGAGGGAAACGTGATTAAGATTTCTCGGAAAGCAGGCGCGACGCCCGTTCCGTTCGGCGCGGTTGGCAGTTATTTGTAGCGCGAACGAAGTAGAATTAAATTAAGTCAAAGGATCGAAATTACATTAAATTAAAAGGTCGAAACGATCGGGAATAATAATTACTATGCTTTCCCATCAAAGACAAATGCAATTGTGATGCGAAACGCGCTTCGGTACCGCAAAACGTTAGGCCTCGGTCGGCCCCGTTATTCTCAGCAGAATTTCACGCGACTGTACAGCGACCTGTTTGCTAGCGAGACTAGCGGATTACATTAATTTTATTTAATCAAAGATGACGAGGAGAAAAAAGAAACTAACTTAAAATGGCGGAATTGGTCGCGAGCGATTCTACGGTCGGCGGGACGGCGACGCGTTTTCGTTACGTTACACGCGGCCGCTTCGAGAACCTTCCTCGATAATATTAGAACGTTCACCTCGCTGATCACGACTCACGAGGTGAATGGAGGGTTTCCAACGAGCGAAGCGGACCGTAGACTGTTCTAGAGGATGACTGGTCAGACGATAGTCGCAGATAGTCGGAGAGATCAAATCGACGTGCACGTGGAGAACGCAACCAGTCGCGAGGGACCAATCGGTTTGGTCGAGTCGAAAGTATTCGGCCAATCACAAGCGTTGCCCAGCGGTCGAATAACATTTGTTATCCAGCGCACTGCACATGAGCATTATAGTTGCGCAGCTGTCGCGTTCTCTGAACAAGCCGACAAACACGTGTGAGATTAGGTTGGGTCAAAGATATATGCTGGAGATGTTCTAACCTTTGACTCTCGAATACTTGCCTAATAAGCATGTTGTTTGGAAAAAATATAATAAGCAATTTTCTGTTTACGATTTCACGAAAATTGAATATTTAATGTTATAACACAAAAGTGAATTTCTGCCAATTTAGCCATTTTTTGCTTATACTTTTTTTTATTTCACGATTTTCTCCTTTCCTTCAGAACCTGAAAATGTGTTTTATTTCGAGCAAGATTGCAAGTGCAGCTAAAGGCATATATAAATGTTATTTCTACTAGAGCTCACGCAATTTTGTTTGCAAGTACGAGATTGGCAATCTAAATACTTGAGAATCGATTAGATAAAGTTACGCATTTACATTATCGTGTGTTACACATTTAAATTATTTAAAATATCGCGTTTTAAAACTAGTTTCAAATAAGTTTTATAACAGATCAATATATTTGAGAGGTTACAATATCCTAGCAATAATTAATGTGTATCATATGTATAACAATCATTCTGCTTTTTTGTGTGACAAAAAAATCACGTGAGATAGTATTATCGATTAATAAACATGTATAATCATAAAAAGAAGGAATCCTATTTTTCTCCACATCTCTCGTTTTAAAATTTGCTGACTCAGGATTATATCGAAAGATTACAAGTATAACCGGTACAACTACTTTCATGAAAACAACTTAATGCGTATATCCATGTGTAGTAAAAGATATCCGTTTAAAGTGGGGGTATGTGTATGTGTTAGGTGAAGTAGATACGTGCCGATCGGCGCCCACTGCATGACGATCAGTCTACTAACTGCGCGCAACATAAAACAAGCAGAATCATCTTACATTCGAGAAGGCGAATCTGAAAATCAAGAAAGATGCCTAACATAGATCCAGAAGTGCTCAAAACATTCGGCTTTTGGGGCAGTATCCTGGTCCTGAAACTGCTGGCGATGTCGCCGTTAACTGCACGACAACGAATGCGAAAGAACGTGGGTAACAAAAATAGCCGTAAGATAAGATAGTCATATTATGTCCATGATTTTTTTTCCGTATAAAAGTCGTCTCCAAAAACCTGGTCTCTTAACAAATAGTTGAAAATATAAAACATTTTTTATTTCGAGGCTATATATCACTATTATTAAACGCTGAACTTGAAGCGGAAAGTAACTTAAGTAAACATATGTGAGTTTTTTCAACGAAAAATTGTCAAAATTCTTTTGTTTCAGTTCTAAATATACGTACATATTTTTCTTAACCAAATTAGCAAGGAGACAGATGTCGTGTTCCGTTTTAGCATCAGAATCTGTTAGCTAGAATGAAACTGATTGTAATCAATTGTTGCAGGTATTCGCAAATCAAGAGGATGTTTCGTTCGGAGCCAAAGGCAAGGTGGCTTACGATGATCCAGATGTGGAACGTATGCGCAGAGCACATTTGAACGATCTCGAGAATATTCTGCCCTGGTTCATAATCACGTACCTCTGGCTAACAACAAAACCTTCGCCATGGTTGGCCAATATTCTGATACGAACCTTCGTACTTTCCCGTATAGCTCATACTCTGTCGTATACATTTTTAAAACAACAACCTTTGAGAGCGATAGCATTCTTCATAGCATTTGGAGTTACGGGTTACGAAGCATTCCAGACATTTTTACACTATTGCTAATTTTTACATAAGAACCTCTCTAACGTGGTCTGAATACACGTCAAATAAACACAATAGCAACACAACAACGAATTACGTAATAATAACGACACATTTTTCGTATTTGGAGGTAAAAAAATGTTCGTTATGTCTACAGAGATATATGTTGTATATGTATATATATGGATATATATATCTACAGAGAGAAATATTGTATGTTGAATCTGAAAATATATTGTATGAAAATGTAACACATATATTTCTTTCATAGAAGAAACATAAGCCATATTAAATGTGCAATATTTTTGTACATGTATTAAATAAATGAAAAACTTTATCCGTGGACATTCTTTATTAACGGAATTAAATGAAGTCATGTGCTATAAAATTACCTAACATTTCTTGTAAACCATTCCCATTTGCATTGCGCACACGAAATTCAATCTGTAAAATCTGTGCATTGGGCACACGTATAGCTTTCAACCGCGCAAGCGTTTCAACGCACTTCGAAAGCGCATACGCGAACTTTATCGTACGTGGTCGTCATGACGGCATCGCGACGCCGACAAACGCGGGAACGTCAGACGTCGCGACGCGCTGGTAACGTGCTAGTCGTCGGTGCCGCGCGGTTATTCGACAATCGATCATGCTTTGATCCGCGTCCGCGTCGCGTTAAAATCGCAATTAAGCCCTTTAGTTATCGCGGTGCGACGTTAATGCAAAATTATGCTGAATTATAAACGTTTACGAGAACCAGTAATCACTGCTCGGTTTTCTTGCGCGATGAGGATCGATACCAGAAGCGTAGAGTGATCAAGAAACACGATCACAGGTGGGTGTGAAACTTTCTGAAATCTGATATAACGATAATGAAAATTGCACATAATATATAAGATTAGAAATTTTCATTTATAACGAAGTAAATGACTGACTTTTAGGATGTGACATGTACCTTAAAATATTTCTTTTTTATCGCGCGTGACGTATATTTTGCCCAACACTATGCGCATTTAATTTTCTATTAGGTACTCCATATCATTTTAGTTTCAAGTTCTTCATATCTTTTTTTCTTCTATCGTAAATTGCACATGCATAAAAGTGCATTGTGTGGAAAATAAGCAGAGTTCAGGCGCCAGCGGCTGAAGAATGCAGGAGAAATTCCTTATCTTATATCCATGCAATTTTCTCCTTTGTTCCGACGACAAACACGGATCCCCGAGTTACACGCGAATAGAATCAAGCTCAAGCAGGTCATTCCTGTACCTGCACCTCGATTTCCGTGAGGATCATGTTTTTTTCTTTTAGCGTGAACAGAAAAGCCAGCTGAACGATTCTTTCTCACGTGCAACGGTTTGCATAGGGTGGCAGGAGTATGTCTTATCGAAGATTGGAATAAGTTTCTAACTTCTTTATGCTAGCGATTTCTTAAAAGATTGGCTAAAAACTAAATCTGTTTTCTTAATCAGCCTCATCATTTGTATTAATAATTAATTAAGAACATTATCTAACAGCCTATACAGCCCGATTTCAATAAACGACTTAAAAATCGAGGAAAATGTTCTTTTTTATAGGAAATTACTTTGTATTAATTACATATATTATTTTAATTTTATATTTTAATTATTTTATATATTAATTCCTTAAATTAACAATGTGTTTTTAGTACGTTGACATTTTCCAGCGCCCGTAATACCGTAACGTGTTTGTCAACAGTGTATCAATGTTTGTCTACTTTCCGGAGCTTTAGACATAATGAAATTTTCTCACGAACGGTGCATTTGGACAGAGTATGTACGTGTAGAGAAGTTTCTTAGTTAAAACTCCCCACATTCTCTAATTAAAAATTTTCGCGTTTTTATGGAAATATCGATTGCGCAATTAATTAACATTCCTATGGATGCACGAATGTTCATTTGTTTTGTTTTATGAATTTTTATCGCACGACGTACCGTGCAGTATTGTGATACGATTATGACGTATAAAATTATACGTACGACGTATAAATCGTGCGTGCGTGCAATCGTGTGTGTGTGTGTGTGTGTGTGTGTGTGTGTATGTGTGTATGTATTACGCTGTTAATTTGCAATAATGACGTTGATGCGAATAGATAAATCTCTTCATTGTTTCATCAATACTAGCCGTGGTAACCACATCTAGGACATATAGATTGCACACGAACACATATACTCCAAAGATGCACGTCTTATCAGTGAAGTATCAAATGAAGAGAAGACAGTCCAATGCACGCGGTCAGTTAATTAACCCATTTATGTTCTTCATCAAGTTCTGACCGATATTAACGACGCGAGTTATAAAACAGCTTATTTATATTCGGAACGGACAATAATTACACTGCAGAATTTTTTTAAATTCAACCCGTTTAAAAAATATGTAGTCTTTTCATAAAACGCATATTACAAAGGAACTAACATTTTTTTCCAGCTTTGTCGAAATCTCAACTAATTTTTCTGCTAAAAAAAAAGCGGCTTCTTTTCACAAAAGGGCTAAATTACAGCCTGTGGCATACACACATAATTTACCGGTCATTCTATTGTCCCAAGATCGTAGGTCGGTTGGACACTTTATTGAATATCGCAAATATTAATTAATTGATGACGTTACTCTATGCAAGCGGCATGCACATGATTACAAAGCGGTGTATCGACCACGTACTGGTCCCTAAAGGCAGTTTAAGCACAAGGGACCGTAAGCGTTTGCCGGGTGCATGCCTGCGGCGAGATAGATGCACGCGGTGCATCGTGTACACGCGGTTATCGATAATCGTGTCAATTTTCCGTGTCGCGTGGTCACGCCTTATACGTGCGTGCCATCCGAAATTGCATTTCTCTGTATCGGCTGTCACGGCGAGCGACGCGTACCGGTGGCTACGATTCAATTTGTACCGGGATTAGTACCAAGATTCTAATCACGTTTGAGGTGGGTGCGCGTCCACCCTTTACAAACGAGGAATGGTCGACAAACCCGCCTCGTTGCCAAAGTTGTTTGTCGTCAAAGTGGAGCGAGCTACTCTAGCTTTTTTTTTCGTAAACTGAACTGACTTCTCGTTAGTTAAAATCAGAGATATTTTTTTCTGATATATAAGGACCGAGAAAGTTTTTTCTTTTTCTTTCTTTCCTTCTTTCTAAAATATTTTATGCACAAACTCTTCAAAAATGCATTTCTTAAATTCGGAGATTATCAAAAAGAAATCCAGATTACAGGGCGACGATAAGACGATGGCATAAATCGAGAACCACTGTCGATGTCTGCGTTTTAGTGTCATGGTCGTATATGTGACGGGACATGCTCTCGTTGTACAAAGCGCACGCGAGAGATCTCGGGGCGTTTTGGTCCGGAGTTAACTCTCCGATATTTATCACTGTATTAAGAATTCCCCGCAGACTCTCGACGACCGATAGAGGAACGAAACGGTTCGTGACATCATAGGCTGCAAATGCACATTCGCGGCTTATCCCTGCCCAGACGACCCCGACGCGAAATTCGTATGACCGCTTTTGGCGCGGTGCATGTGCACACAATCAGGACGTATGAAAACGTCGTACTTGAGAGCCCGTAGGTAATCCTTGAGAGAGAAGGCTCGGTGACGAACGCGAGCGTTTTGGATTGTCATAAAAAGATACCGCAGAGTTCTGACACAGCTTGCACAGCTCGCCCTTGGAAGAAAGGTCGAATCATGTTATAAGGTACATCGTCCAAAGAGAAAAAACGACCGACCTGAAGGATTTCGCGAGATGGATCGTAATGCAGTACCGGAACAGTACATCCATTGTGACTGTGCAGCGTGATTACACGTGCGCGTTAAATAACCACGTTATGATTTCACGTCCGATGACTTCATGGGTGCCTATATAACTCGCGTTATTTAACGATACGGTCGTTTCGCGTTTAGACATTACAGGCCGACGTGAATTAAAACGTTTAAAGCCGGAACAGTGTCTGATTCGCGAAAGAAACTATAGATATTCTAATAAACTACGAACACGAGGAAAATATCATATTCGCGCAGCCTCGTATAGTTTTGCGTCGATTAAAGTTAATGTTTCCGAAAATTGCCGCGCTTCCGGAATATGTCGATTGTAGCACTTGTAAAGGATTTCGGGACTAATAATATAATAAATTCGAAGCATTCCTAATCACTGGAAGGGCGTCGCTTTTCAAGACGCGCCGTCTGGTTCTCTCTGACGTCGACGTAACGACGCGTCAGCGAGGAGGTCAGGCTGCATCGCTTCGTCTTAGGAGCGCAATTACAAAAGTTTCCCTTTTAACGTTAATTAATGAGAGAGTCCGCCGTACCGTACTTCATTATGGCGCTATCCATTACGGAGGTGGCCTCTTCTCTCAAGTTGGGCATGCTTTCAATTCTCCTCCCCCGGGAGAAAGACCGTGCCAAACTGATTTACGAAGAGCGATCGACTTTTTCTTCAACTCGCATAAAATTACCCCCGTTAACCATAAGCATCCGCCGGCGGTTCGTCTCGTTTTGCGAAACGCGCGATTTCGGTACGCGGAGCACGCAACACGCGTGCCGACATTTCGCGAAATCGATCGCTGGTTAAGGCATCCTCGGCCGCGAGTCATTTTCTGGAATTCGATCATGTCCTTCTAGAAAAACGTAAGTGGATCGATACTGCTTTCAGGCTACAAGGAATGAATAATCACATATGTTGCGTATGACTTCGTATACGAGCCCAGAAAGGTCATCAGGAATAATCAGAAATGGCTTTAAGGTTTTCTGCCTCTAGGCTGTAACGAAATGAGGCGCCGGGGCTTAGATTTGCAAACTTAAACTCGCTAATTGCGTCAAAAATTTAAAATAACATTAATTCATTTTTAAGTTACTACTCTTATTTTATGCAATTAAGAATGGCGTTCACGCGCGAGGCTAAGGTCAGCGAAAGGTCCATTATCTCGGAGAACGCGAAGAAAATAAATGACAGTAACGTTTACAGTGAGCTCAAATGACATGTACATTCGTTCCCGGTACACGGATGACGCGTTCGATCGGTTACCGGTTCGCCTACAGATTTCGACGCATTCGCCAAATACGGCGCATCGAAGTCGAACCCGAGAAGCCGCACGCCGTCTGGTTTTCTACCCACGCCGTGACCCGTCGTCGCTTTTTACGGGAAACACGAACAAACGGGCGTGGTGCTTTCGCTCTTTAAGTGAAATGGTCCACGGATGCGCTGGCCTGCACGAATGACTAACTTTTAGCAGATCGCTCGTGATAGCTATCGAGTTATAGTTTACAAATTTTTGATATACATAAAAAAAAAATAAAAGTCTAAAATTGTCAACTGATATAATTCCATGCTCGGTTAAATATAAAAAGATATACAGAGTTGGATATAGGAAGATATATAGAGTTGAACATAGAAAGATATACAGAGTTATTTTTGGTGCTCGTTTGATGACCTTTAGATAACGGCTATATAATGCAAATAGAGACGAGGAGTCAGTTAAATTACTGTTACCGTTAGGCGAAGTTAGTACAAAAGTCACCATAAGTAAATCAGTTTATACTTCAATTCAATTGTTACTACGGTCGTCTGCATCTCTTCATGCAATATGGAATAGATCCCGACGCTATTTGTCATACGGTATCAACCCCGGCTGGTTCTATAATGTCTAACGATAATAACTTCGTTCATGTAACGACGCGTTTCATTACGTATGTGTACCGCAATCACCGTAAAGAACAAGCGTTTATTAAAGTTAATTTATACTACTTTAGAGTATAAGTGTACGTGAGCATTTTTTTTGTAACGACACACCTCACGCATCGTTAACGCCCACGAATGGACTTTACGTCTCAAAGCGAGCGTGTTAATATTTCAATCAAATAAGAAAATTATTCGCCCGATTTATTTCCAAGGACGTATGTAATACGGCAGGAAACAAATATTACACAAGCATAAATGACTTAAACATTTCTGCTTGTAGTGTAGCGTGTCTCTTTATATATTTTTAAAACGTTTGAAACGTTTTTCTTTCATCTTGATGTGTAATTGACTTACAATTAACTCGTAAATTGATTTATAATTTGAGCGATGATTTTCATATTATCGCATTTTCTTCCTTACGATCGAATCAGTGTCTATTGAACATAACAATAAAAGATACTTAGCATTCTTTAGACTTATCTCGGAGATCCTATCACAGATCGTAATAATCTTACTCTGTTATCTATTTATATAAATTGTATTTAATTATATGAAGAAATGAAGTCGCTAAAACTTTTCGTATCAAGAAGTTTTTTTTATCGGCTGCGTGTTACAATTCAACGTACACTGACGATAACGATAACAAGAAAATAAAGACATTCTATTATTTACAATTGTTGTGATTAAATAATTTACAATAATTATTCAAAGTATATTATTTGAATCGAGAAAAAATCTATCCATTCCTCATGAACGAATTCGTTTTATGGTAATCGACGAGAGAGATTGCCCTCTTGAGAGAATCGTGACTCGTTAAAAGTGTCTCATTTGAAATAACTAACTGTCTCAATTGTCTCTAAATAATGGACATTGGTGACACTTGCCCGTCCGTCCGGGAGGAAACACCGGCTACGATCGTCGTCGTAGTTTTTCAGCCTACGTCATCGCTCGGTTTACGCCGTGGCATCACGATGGACCGGTTCTGCGAAGGTGCCCCCACCGATTTCTCCATCGCGTTCGCGGCGCTCGCGGGTCCGCAATTTTTCTCGCTGCAAAATGTTGAAAGAAAGAACCTGATGACCCTGCGTGTATGAATCATTGCGCGAAGCTTTTATAGAAATAAGTATCAAGATGAAACTTTTGATTCGCGCGTAGGATAACACGCCTTTATAGGACTTCCTCATCTTTTACCGATCGTTCTCCATTTTTTGATACTTTTACCGCACAACGATGTGGTTCATATAACATTATTGAGTTGCTATTAATTATATTTTAATTTTTCGTTAATTGTCAGGTATGATAAAAAAATGTATGAAAAAATGTTTGAATTTTTAATATGAAAGAAATATCATCCAACTAAAAGCTACCGTAACAAAATTTAATTGTAAATTTAAATATACGTGTACAAACGCAAAATTGCATTTTGCACAAGTCCATTCATGTTGGAATTTAGTTTGGAATTTCATCCACATAATACGAGAGATCAACAGGTGCACAGACGTGCACACTAACACAGAAAAAATAAAAAGATCACATCCTGCGTTTGTGTGTTACGTAACGCGTACGCCGATGCGTGTACGCGCACATGTGCACGAAGTGCGCGTCTACATTCACGAGTTGATGTAACGTTAAATGCCTGCAGTAATACTCATTGCGTGCAATGGAAAGTAATAGAAAAAGTAACGATAAAATGTCTTTGATATTATTTTGCTTCATCATGCTTCATATTAAATTTAACCGAAATATAATGCGTTCACGTTTCGACATATCTAAGAATTTGAAGTATCTCAAAATATCAAAGGACAATTCTCTTGTTGACAAATCTTTAATAACACGAGCATTTTGCGTCGTTCGAGCGTTGGAATTCGACCACTGACTAGGTTTATTAGAATTCGACATTGACGTATAAACGTGTTCGCGGCGCGCGTATATACGCTATCGCGCTGTGCAAATATGTGCGCGACGAAGAGAAGTCGCAGATAAGCCGCGAGAGAAAGAAAGACGGACTCTAATCTGGCAGTACATCGTAACAAAATAAGCGATACACCTGGTAGCGACGGTGTGTGTTGTGTACGCGCGTGTTCATGGGTCACGCATTCTAACACGCGTTGCCGGTCGTGAACAATACGCGAATACGTCCCACGTCGCGAGACCAGGAGCGTGTGGGACACACGAGGATGGGTGGCAACGTCCCACGCCGAACGAATGGGCCACGTACGGGCGAACGTGCAGAGGCTCCGTCACATCGCGGAAAGTAGGGGTGCCGCGGTGTTCTCCAGGCATAAAAGATCCATGGTTGGTGTATGTCAGTGTCAGTGACGGGAGAGAGGAACGCGGTGAGGAACGGTGGAGAACCGTGTGGTCACCTAGACCAGCGGCAGCGAGTAACCGCCGATGCCACATCGACTCGCGGTATCGGACCGAGAACATCGGTCCGCATCTCTCACAATCGTGAATTTCGGAGCCGGCATAGTCCCGAGTAGTGACCGAAGAGAAAGACAGAGAGTTTCGCAGTTTACGAGCGAGCGAGAGGAAGCCACGCGCGAAGCTCGCGCATATATCTGACGCGGGCGAGAAAGTTCCGAGGATCATATAGAAGAAACGAGTTTGTAAACGAGGCCGGTCACAGGCCGAGCTTCAGTTCGTCTGAGAGACTCAAGAGTGGCGCGAGCGCGTGCGAGCGAGCGGTGTAACGTAGTTAAGACTGAGTGCCTATGATAAACGGTTGTGCGATAAGCGGGAGCTCTTTTGTATTTAGAATCTAGGTCTTTAAAAGATTGACGGTAAAGTTAAACAGTGATTGAAAAATTAACGCGGTCGATAGTGGGTGCGCATTTTAAAAACTTTTTCTCAGTTTTTATCGCATTTACAACGATCACGAGTCTTTTGCGCTTGTGTGAAAAATTGTTGTCGAATAATCGAGCTGTGAAGACGACCGAAAATACATAGCGATGACTATTCACAAGAAAGGCAAGGTGTCAAAGATGAAGAATGCCGGAGCCGAGAAGAACGTGGCGACGACCTCGACGACGTCGGACGTGGCGACAACGGAGACAGTCGAGGTTGTATCCTCGACCAGCGTGGAGGAGTCGAGTCAGGTGAAGAAGAGCAAATCTAAAAGTAGCATGGTGGAAGTCACGAGCTCCAGTCGCGAGGTCATCATGGATTCCAAAGGTAACATTATCAAAGTTATCGAGACACCTCCGCAGACTATTCAACAGAACTCGTCCAGCCGAAGGACCGGAAAAAGCTCTCAAGACTTTATAGCCGGGGAGCAGGTGCAATCGATTAAGCAAGCGAAGACGACGCACGAGATTCCACGCGAGCACGCGACGTCTCTTTCGGAAAGTCGGGCAATTCAAGGAGAAGCGACTGAACGAGCCAGCCAATCTATGCAGGCGCAAAGTCAAAGCGTATCCCATTCAATGGTTCAGCAGTCGAGCTCCTCGAGCGTCTTGGTTGAGAGTTCATCAGCGGGCGAGGATCACAGCGAACATCGTTCCACCGTTGTGGTTTCTCACGACATTAAAAATGCGGCTCACGCTCCCGTACTTCAGACATCGTCAAGGTCGACCGAGAGTACTCACGTGAGTAGCGAGACGAGCGAAGCCGTAATGAAGGATGGGCAGACGGTGTCGAGCACCATGAGAATTCGCGAGACGGGAGAAAAAATCGATGACAATGGCAGGATGATGTCCACGTCGAGCCGGGAAGTTGACAGCGAGCATACGGTCACACCTTCTAACGTAACTGTCATTAAAAATACCGATGATATCAAGAGAACTGGCGATAAGAGTACGCGCAGCGATTCAAAACTGGAGAGATCGAACATAGAGATATCGACACGTTGCAACAAGCCCGGCCAATCCACGTGGGATGGCACGTTCGTTTACGAGAAGCCTGCCACTCCTAAGGGCAAAAATGCCGTTGATAAAACGGTATCCGTAAGTTCCAAAATTCATGGCGATACGAAAGACAGTGAAACGAGCACGAAAATCACTCAAGAAGCATCGACCGAAGAAGCATCGTTTATCGATCAGATCGTATCTTCGAGTTCAAGTGTGACTCGAGATTCAAAAACGGTAGTCGACGAAAATCAACGATCCACGACGACTCATCTTCGTGATATCACGTCGGAGAAGGCCACCGAGAAGGCAGACACTACCGATTTCGGCGAAAAATCTCCGAAACGACCGGTTCGTCACTCGAAACCCGGCGACTCGACGTGGGACGGAAGCTTCCTCGTGGAGAAAATTACGACGCAGCCAAAACGGCGTAACGATTCCGACGTCAACGTGTTCCATCACGGTCGCGGCGACGATGTCGTGGAAACGACGCAGAGAAGAGATTTTAAAGAGAAGAGTGCGGACGGTACATACGAGAAGGAGTCATCCGAGACTATGCGCGTCGTAAAAGGTGTCACGGACAGCACCAGATTCATATCCGAAGAGCGACATGATGTAAGCAGAGAGAGTTCGATTCGTGTCGACGGCACGCCGTCGAGTAAGGACGAGCACTCTGCTCGCGTATCCAGCTCGTCGCAAAGAAGGCCCGGCGATTCCTCATGGAACGGCGAGTTTGTCTACGAAAAGTCGCAAGATGACGTGAAGACGCATCCATCGGACGTCACCGTCGTGCGCAGAACGGAGAAGAGTCATGATTCCGTGGATGTTCAAGATGTCAGCGAAGAACAGAACGTTGCTGAATCGGTTTCCACATCTTACATCGTCGAATACGCGATTTCCAGCGACAAGAAGAACGTTGAGAAGGTCACGTCGGTATCCGAGGCGATTTTGGAGGAAGACGGTCCTGAGGATAGAATCACGCGCGGTCCTGAGAGTCCGGAGAGACAGACAAAAGTAGACACGACCTCGCGCTGTTACAAGCCCGGTCAGTCTACTTGGGATGGCACCTTCGTCCACGAGCGACCAGTGACACCTGACCGTCGTCGAAGACCGGAAGATAGACGTGCGGTAAAAACCGTCGATATTCGGGATGTTACGGAAGACAATTCGATCAATGAAGCGGACGTCACGAGCACTTCCTACATCGTCGAGCATTCATCGAGCCAGCAGAGTTTCTCGGACGTCAGGGATGCCAATATGATGTCCACGATGTACGAGACAGTCGTTTACGAAGGACGTCCTGTTGAAACGACGATTAGATTCGACGGATTTGGAGATACATCGCGAGGCAAAGTTTCAACGACGGAACGTCGGACTAGTCCGTCTCCACGACCCAGAAGTCCGGAGAAGATACCGAAAGATAGAGATCTGCGAAGTACCAAACCCGGATCGTCTACGTGGGATGGAACTTTCGTAGTGGAAAAATCGCAAGAGAAGAAGAGACCACCTAGCAGAGAATCCATTGATGGTAGGCTACCGGATAAACATTCGGCTGATGGCAAAAAAACACTCGTGGATACCTCGAAGAAACACATTAGCGAAACGGCTCTCGATCTCCGAGATGTCACACAGAATGTATCTAGCACGTCAGAGATCGCGGAAAGTTCCGTCGTTATGGAACAATCGAGGATGCACGAAAGCTACACGGATTCCTCCAATCTCGATTTCTCAACGACTTCCGTCGAAACTGTTATTATTCACGACGGTCAGCCGGCAACGACGCAAAAAACAGTGACTATTCAAGAAGGCTTCCAAAGCGTCGCCAAGAGGCTGCCTAGTAGTGACGTAATAACTACTACCGACGTTAAAGAGACCACTGTTAAAAGCCTCGAGAAGAAGGAGCCTGGCGCGGACGATAGAAGTTACCGACCTCTGAAACCAGGCTCGTCGACGTGGGACGGATCGTTCGTGTACGAGAAATCAAAAGAGAGAAGACCAAGCGATAAAAAGTCACCGAAAGATGTATATGAAACTGTGGATAAACAAAGTCCAATTAAAGAAAAACCGACCGGCAATATTGATCGCAGAACTGTTACAATATTGGACACATCTAAAGATATAACGACTGCCGATCATTCTACGAGCTCTGTCACGGTCGAACAAACTTTCGTCGCGGATTCGGAGACATACGATTCTTCAAATATATCAAAAATTTTTATCAAAGGAAGCGCAGAAGATAAAATACATGAAATCGATTATGAAAAGCCGAGACAGCTGCTCGACGGAAAACCTAAGCCATCGCCTCGACAACATCCGGAAGACATTAAAGAGCCTAAACATGAAAAACCGGAAAAAAGTCCGGTGGACAGAACGCATCGACCATCGAAGCCGGGCGCCTCCACCTGGGACGGATCGTTCGTGTATGAGAAACCAGAAGAGAAAAGACCAGATCGAAAGATACCAAAAGATACAGCTGTAATTGTAGATAAACGAACCCCAACTAAAGGAAAACCGAGTGACATTGCTGATCACAGAGCATCTATTACGATTTTGAACACATCGAAAGATGTGTCGAGCTCTGCCGATTATACTACAAGCTCCGTGACGGTCGAGCAAACGTATGCCACCGATTCAAAGACATATGACTTGTCAAATGTATCCAAAATTTATATCAAAGACAGTTCGGAGGATAAAGTACATCCGATCGATTATGAGAGACCGAAACAGCCCTCCGGCGAAAGACCTAAACCGTCGCCTCGACAACGCCCAGAAGATACTACGGAGTCTAAAGACGAAAAGCCGCAGAAAAGTCCGGTGGACAGAACGCATCGACCGTCGAAGCCGGGCGCCTCCACCTGGGACGGTTCCTTCGTGTACGAAAAACCGCAAGATTCGCGAAAGAAACCGACGAGTGATGAGCCAGCCGAGATCAAGCAGAAGCCGGCAGACGAACGAAGACCGATTGAGAAAGAAAAAAAACCAGTAGATCGGAAAGAGAAAGCGATGCCGACTCCGATTTCGCGAAAACCCACGGACAAGGAAACGCCGAGGGACGTCACTGAAATCAGATATATCGAAGATGTCGCGGATATCACACAGGCAGATATCACGCGTACATCCGAAGTGCTTCAGCAGTCTTATGTAATCGATCAGTCTTCGAGATTCACTTCTGTGCAAGACGTGCGCGATGTTACGGACAAGCGTGTCGTCACTGAATTTACGACGGACGTGCGCAAGGATGTGGTGAGTAATTGCGAGACGTTAAAATGTTCTTTATTAGCTGTCTACGCAGGAAATTGCTAAAAACTACGACTCATCGAGTTTTCCAGGATAATATACTTCAACGTGTATCCCTGTTTCAATATTTATTTCCACAAGTATGCTCAAATACTGAAAAATTTAAATTTTCTATTTTTGACACTGATACACTTGAGTTTTCGATACATTAACTTCTCGACAATGTCCATATGTCAGTAGGCAGATTTAAAAGCCTCATCGAGACACTTTGAGCACAGTCCTTGCGGAAGAGGCTCGAACGATACGATACTTTCACTTCCAAACCGGGCGAAGGTTGTAGGTTCACGTGTGTGGCGCCGTTGAAAATAAACTTGACGTAATACAGCGATTCGTGGAAGGACGGAAAGGGTTAAGCGCGGTAGAAAAAAAAAGAGAATTCGTTTTGTTAAATCGGCTGCGTTAGAAACAGACAGAATGTGTGTATATATCGCGTTCCTGATATACACACATTTCTGCACGGCTGAGTCCCGGATTCATCGAACTATTGCAAAGCCAACCGAGAGGAAATCGATATTTCACACATGAGAAAACGATTCTACCTCAATCGTTGTATCATAATCTTCTTAAATCGTCAGTATACGTTCCGTATTGCATAATACGGAAACTTATGATGATGATGCATCTTAATATTATCATCGCTGACATAAAATCAATGCGATAACCTCTATTTTCGATTAAAAAGCGAACTTGGACATTTATGTACAGAAGTTATCTTTGTGATAGATATATATTAGCACAATTACTTTACAGTTCAGACTAAACTAAAGGTGATATCTTGTTTTTCCACTTTAACTGATCAATATCAGACTTTAAATATTACGTCAAATAATATTATTACAGATAAACATCAATTTAATTACTGTTGTATTTTATTTATATTATATTTACGTTATTTGTTATAACAATTGGTATGTGAAGATAAATTATTACGATTGTTCACATTTCCGCGAAAAATATCTTTAGAATTGTTTTCGTCGCAGACATGTAAGTGTATAAATCACTTGCAATTAGACTCAATCGAGCATATGCAGAGTAATAATAATTGCATCCAATATGAGCAAATTCGGCAGTGATGTCACCGCTCAATGTAACCAGTTTAATGCACGACCAATTGAATTTTACGCGTGTTCCGCCTCGCTTATCACGGTTGCCTCGTTTAAGTGCTATAGAAATCTTAGTTAAGAGATGCCACGCCGAGAGACACGTGTGCATTGACGTCACTCACGTCGGTTACAGTATCGATAGCAATGGCCGATAACATTAAATAAAATAATAATAGTATAACAAAGTAACAAGTCAGAGTATATTGTTTTACAATACCGTATATATCCAATATATATTCCGATATTTCATATGACTCAATATTGATTTAATCAGTAAATACAAAATCGTAGTATCAACACCGGGTTTTACACTGCGACCGCGTCGCTTCGGCTAAAAGTTATACCTTTTCATAGAAATGTGGATCGATATCGAACATAAAGATAAATGCCACAGATGACACTTCGGACTTTACTGCTATAGCGATAAAATGTTAGCACTCCTAGAAGATTGAAATTTAGAGTTTCAATTTAGAGCTTGTTTCTAACAGAAATAATACTTCATTTTCATTCAAATTTTTGCGTTTAATTTTTTAAATTATCTCTTTCTTTTTATAGAAGAAAATTTTTTCATTTTATTCTGCATGTGTCTATTTTCTTGTAATTAAATAAGTTAAAATTTTGTGTCACGTCCAATAAAATCTTGTTAACGTACATGTTGCTTATTGAAGATTCAGCGAGCATACTTTTCATTGTTAACGGCAGTGAATTTCCTAACTGAAAGATGCTCGGAACAATCTGAAACTTTACGTTCACGTAGCGTCTTACAAATATTAGGATCGGTGCTTCGAAGTTTACGTCATCCAACATCATAGTCTGAATATTCAATGCCTTGCTCACAAGGATAAGACTGAGTTAGATAATTTGCGATAAGTTCGCACGTTTACATCCGCTGAACGAATTAAAAATAGACATTCGTAACTTATTTCGCATCATGCGGAAAGTTCATTTCTTTAAAGCAGCTCGTTCCAATTCTCACAGCCGTGACTTTACTTACGAGGTCTAGAGATGATCGATAAAATGCTTTAGTAAGTTCGCGCTTACACACATGTTTCTCGTGTTACCTCATCTACAGCTTTGTGAATGAATAAATCCAATATCTACAGTTATCTTTTTTTCTATCTTTAAGAAATCAAGATAAAGAAAAACACTTTATGGAATTTATCTGTATTATGATTGCAATTTTCGTGACGTCGCTACTCAAAACAATTCATCCCGATGCTACGTTATACATACGCCCCCGTTGTTTTTGATTGTTCAACATGCAAACAGCTATAGAGAAGCGTGGCCTACTTGCATCGAGACACGATGATACGTACGCGAACACATGCGTGATCGCGTTTACTCGGCGCGATTCAGCATTATTATTTTATGATGACGCAGGCACGCGCAAATGTCTCGTTGTGTCACACATTACGGCATCGATAAATGTGATATTTTATTATCGGCACGCAATCACGTTCATTAAAATTCTTATAAGGCGGAAATTATATTAAACTCGTTCCTACGAAACAGTAGTAATACGGAGGGTCGTTTTTAATGTAAAACTCTTAGACAGACAAAATTATGCTCATCATCAGGAAAACACGTAAAGTTCAAATTATGTAAACGAGCTTCATTATGAGCAACTCTCGATATCGCCGAGGAAGGGCAATCAGCTTAAAGACTCAAGCTACTTAACCCGCTAATTAAATGCCAAAACTTCATCTGATGTGCTTTACGCGAATTACGTTCGAGCGTTAAAAACGGTGCAAAGGATTTGACTAATAATATCTGCAAACGTTGCTTCGTTGTAGAAGTCAAGTTAAAGAGCGAGCGTGCTTGTGAGTATAATGAGCAGCTCCAACAGATCGAAAGTAGACACGTGAAAATTTTTAAACGCATCCATAATGACATAATGCAAACGCGGAACGTTTCAACGTACAACTAAAACCCCGACTGGAATAATATTTTTCTCATAAATTGATTATCAATTCGATATTGTGATATTATATTTCCAGTGTTGACATAAAATTCATAAAAAGTATATATTATTAGACATAGAATTCAATTAATAACCAAAAATGTTAACATTTGTCTACTCTTTACATATACATATATTGATATTTATTCACTAAAACGTAACAATTGTTTATAAAAATCGGAAATTATAAGTAAATGAAATTTCGAGGTCCTCTAGATTCAATAAAAATACGAGGTCTGAAAGTCTCTTAAAATACGTTTATAAAATAAAATTTCTCGTACAGATTATTTGCATTTGCGATAATATCCCTTATAATCTATATTCTGGGGTGATAGCGATGTCGTTAACGAAACTAAATCGCAAAAGTACGGTTCGACGGTTCGACAAGCGCGTTACACGATACGCTGTAAGCGTGCACATAAAAGCGTATACACCGATCTCGTGTTACCTGCATTCCGTCGAACTAAGCATTACCGGCGTTCCTAATCTCGTTCATGCTCGCGGCGCTCATTATGCAGCACGTTTGAAGCTCGTAATGAACGCCCGCGGAAAAACGAAGCCGCATTTACGTCGTTATTGCGCTTCGAAGTCTTCTGCGAACTGCTATCAAGGCGTTTACTGTGTGATTAGCGTGCCAATTGAGTATCATAAATCTTTGTTTTTTTTTAAATAATTATTCTGACATTGACTTTAGGCAAATCGATATAATGTTGCTATGCAGTCGTTATTCGTCACGAGGAAAGTAATAATAAAGTTTGCAGGTGGTAGCCGTAACTGGTCATTTATGTTTGACATTTCCTAACAGCTTATATGCCATATCAATGCACGTACTTTGTTATAGTATCCATTAATGTTACCTATACAACATTAATACCGCAGCTGTAAAATTGTAGGTGTTATTAGAAACGTTATCGGTTTATGTAATAATTAACAGTATAGTTTGCTCGATGCGTGAAAACGTTATTAGCGAAATAATAATTATTGCAAGATAATCGTTGACCAATTCATATTTATTTATTAATCGACTATTTATCCTGCTCTGATATCAATATTAATATCATTATTTAATAAAATCTAAGAAATAGTTAAAAAATGATTTTTGTTGTATTGTTTTAGAGAGATGTTACCGAGTCAACAAAAGAATTTATCGATAAAGAGCAGGTGACTAGTATGGTAGCGCGGGATGTCGTTGACAACACCCGATTCGTTACCATCACTGGTCCGGCATCCCGGTCTCCAGCGGATTTCACGAGGAAACCGTCGCCGGAACAGCCCGGTTACCCTCGTGGAATACCTGGACTCAGGGAGGACGATCGACCGAAATCGATTCCAATTGCTGGAAAGCCCAGAGGACCTCCGCAGCGTGAGAAAAGTCCTCAGCGTCCAACGGAACATGGCAGGTGAATAAAAAAATCAAGTGTCTTCTCTTTTATCTCTTTCATCTACTCGTATTTCTTTTAAATATATCTAAACAGTGAGAAAAAAAAATAAAACAGCGACAATTTATAACTCATCGATATTGATCTCTCAGACCTTCCGAAGTTCGGCCGAAGTCACCTGAAAAGTTTCGGGATCATGTGTCTCCAACTAGGAACCCGCAGCCAGCGGCCGGCAAGCCGAGTCGACCCGAAGAAAAACCCATAGCATCTAGAAAACTCGATAAAGAATCTGGACCCGCGAAACCTAAACCTAGTCGACTTGCCGAGAAGCCTGAAAAACCGAAGAAATCGGAACAGGACAAACCTAAACGTGGAGATCAAAGTCCAGACTCGCTCGACGAGGACGTGGTCTATCCTAAATCAGTGCCGGCACCGGATGTATTGCCGAAAATCCCTCTGAAGGAACAATGCATTTGCGAGCTTTGTACTTGCGGGTGAGTACTTCTTGTGGAGAATATCATTTATATATATATATATATATATATATATATATAAAACCAATAGTTCTCGGCTTTATAGATATAATAATTGAAATACAAATCAATTGAAATAAAAATCGAACGTACGTATGTTATTGGATATTGTTCAAACAATCACGAGAGAAATGTAATACGAAATACAAACGAGAAAGGAATAACGTGAAATTCAAGCAAGAAAGAAAAAAATGTATATAAATCAATGTACGGTAATCTAATCATAATTAATCACAATTACGATTGTGTTGCTGTGTGTACATTAATTTTTACTCGTAGTATAAATTAATGTACGCAGTAACACAATCGTAAGTATAATTAATTACGTTTGTGTTACTGTGTAC